TCGTGGTGGCGCGCCACGCCGCCCGCCCGCCGTCTCCTCCCTCACACGTCTGTCTCCCCGCGCCTCGCCGAGTGCGGCACTGCTGGGGGCGTGGCGCCCCGCCCCTCCCCTCCCCTTCCCAGGCCGGCGAAGCACTCCGGGGAGCCGTGTCGGTCCGCGGAGGAAATCGGGAACCCTTCGCAGTGTCGGGGGGGAGGGGGGGCTCGTTCGGACCCGCCGCTGTCCCCGCGGTCGCTTTGTGGGCAGACCAGACGGCTGGTCCGAAGGGAAAGGTGCGAGCAGCGCCCCGCGGGGACAGACAGATGATCCACGGCCCGGCCCGCGGGGTGCAGGATCCTGTTGCGCAGCGGGGAAGCCAGTGGCGCCGGAGGGCCAGGCGGCAGGTCTTTCCTACGTGACTCGCGAGGGTGCACGCGGCCACCTTTGTTCCCTCGACAACTCCTCCGACGGGCGCTGCGTGTGGTGCCGCATGCACGGCCTTTGCGCGCATTACGGAGTACTCCGGCGGAGTCCAGGGGTCCCCGCCCTGCGCCTTGTGCGACAGTCGCATGTGGCTTGCATCTTTCCCTCAATCCCCATGCATGGCGTGTCTGATGAATATTGTAACTTTGACCCAAGGACAAGTACCCCCCCCCCCCCCCCCCCCGCGTGCGCGAGCGCGCGTTTTCCGGACCCACGATGGCCCTGCGGTTGCAGGTGGGTTTCCCCAACAGGAAAGAAGAAACGCACATGCGCGTCTGACCCCGACAAATCTGGAGATGACTTTTTCCCTGGCAGGACTCTGGTCCTTAGGAGCCCCCGAGCAAGCAGAAAGTAGGTGGATGTGACACCAGTTGATAACATCAGTGCTCCAGCCTGGAAGGGTGCCCCAGCCCAGCCTGCCTCGACTATACCACAGGGAAGAGCCGGGAAGAGCCGTGATAGGCAAAATGATCTGGTAGGCTGCTGCTCCAGCACTGATGCTGGGCATTGCATTGCACCTCTGATGTGCATCTTTATATCTAATGGGAAATGCTCCTGGATCAAGGGGGGGAAAAACACACACACACAACAGGGTCACCCAGTGCCACACTACAGGATTTTACTTACCTGGGGGAAACCCAAGGGCTGTAGAAAAATATATTTCTTTCAACATGTGGGCAATGAAAGGTACAATTGATGTCTCCACATGGACATCGTTTCAGAGGGCAGCCAGGTTGGCCTGCAGCAGAAGAGCTGGTTGCGAGTCCAGCAGCACCTTGGAGACCAACGAGATTTTCGAGGCATGATCTTTTGAGACCCAAAGCTCTTCGAAGAAGGGAGTTCTCAAAAGCTCATATCCCGAAACTCTTGCTGGTCCGTGAGGTGCTATTGGATTCAAATCTAGTTCCACATGCACAAACGGCACAAAAAATGTAGTCTGTGTGGCATATTGAGTTATGTGATCCTTGTCATATTATTTGTCTAACCAGACTCTGTCCCCAGCCTTTCCTCCTCTGACTGTATTTAGCGAAGTGTTGTCTTAACAGCACACTCGTACATCTGTCCTTAACAGCACAAGCCTGCGTCTCTTCATAAAGTAGACATACTAAGGAGTGTTGAAAACTAAATGTTACTGTTTTTGTCACACCTTGATGGTCTCCTTTCTAGGAGTGCAGCTGCACTTCCAGCTGCCCCGTTATTTATTTACGGCCATGTAGAGACCACAGAACAGGGACAGTGGTGGAGGGGGGGAAGGTCCACTCTGCAAGGGAGGAAGCTCTGGGCACAAAAAGGAAAGGTGGGAAAGAAACGGCTGCTGTTTAGTTTGCCCCATACTGTGCCAGGCAGGTTCCACCTTGCATCCTCACAGCCTCCTTTCCCGGCCCCGAGCATGGCAGGAGGGGATCTGGCCTGGCCAGCAAGCCCTTTGCCATCACGGAGTCTGTTTGTGTCACGTCAGAAACAAACATGGTTTTCTTTCCCAACTCCGGAGATTATACGCATCGTGTTCAGTGTGCTACAGGTTTGTGTCTGGCCCAGAAGAGTTCTGCCTGGGCCTTGCCCATTGCTGGAGGTGGTAGGAGAGAGCAGGAGGGCAGTGAGTTGGATCAGGACTCCAGAGACCCACAATCAGAGCCCCTCTCCCCCAGGAAGCTTGTGGAGTGACCTTGGGCCAGGGACCTTCTCTCAGACTAACCTACACTGCAGAGCTGTTGTGAGGATAAAATGGAGGTGACGAGCAGGAGAGCATTAAAATAGACAGAACTAGCCCTGCCCTGGATTGCCCGGGCAAGCCCGATCTCGCCAGATCTCAAAAGCCCTGGCAAGTACTTGGATGGGAGACCTCCTTGGAAGACCAGGACCGGGAGGCAGAGGCAGGCTGTATCAAGCCACTTCTCTGAATGTCCATGTCCCAATAGCAGTTGCCAGAGGTCGCCATGACTTCCAGGCATGGGCACACACTTGCACGGGCACCTGCACACACAAAAATGCAAAAAAAACCCAAAACCCTCCCAAAACAGATTTGGAAAAGAAGCGTTAACTATTAAAAATGAAGCCCTGCTGAGGGTCTTGTTTCCTACAGAATCATCGGAAACGGTTACTGGTGGGGTTGACATCTCCAGACTGGAAAATTCCTGGGGATTTGGGGGTGCAGCCTAAGCAGGGGAGGGGAGGGACCTCAGCAAGGTATGATGCCACAGGAATGCTCCCCAGATCAGACATCTTCACTGGGAGACTCTGATCTCTCTACTCTGGAGATTCGTTGTAATCCCAGGAGCCCCCCCAGGCCTCCCTTGGAGGACGGCAACCCTGACTGCTGGAGATCTTTTGTACTGAGAAGCAGCGCTTATGTAAAAGAATCCTCCTGATGGAGCTTCGGAGTCAGTTTAAATGCTCTCAAAATGTGATGTCTGTCTTCACGCAAATAACCCCTTTTTAGGGCATGGATCAGAGATGCCAAATTTCTGGAGTGTTTCTTTCTGAAAATTTGATTTGGCATCTTTGTGTGTTTGAGAGAAGCGGGGGGGGGGAGGAGTGTGTGGAAGGGAATTCTCGTAAGAGCTGAAAGCCCACGGATATTGAGAGAGGCAGACTGCGCCTCCTACACAGTTTCGCAGAAGGAAAACACTTAAATGAAACATATTTATTTGCCATTGTAACATGATAACATATGCCGTTTGGAATGCAGTGTGGGTTTTCACACCCTTGGGAACCTTCTTCTACGTTTGCCGACTTGCACTGAACTATATATTTCAGTAGCGTTTCTAACAATACTTATGAATAGTTCTGTCCAGCAACTGACTGGGGTGATTTCTCTGATAAGAACTTTGCCAGGTTTTTATTTAACAGCTCATTTAATAGCTCTCATTTAAAAAAATTAAAATCTGCACTTACCAAGAGATAACATAGTTTTGAGGCTGTTAGGTAGTGGGTTCAGGTGTTCCCTGAATCAACTTTTTACAGCACTGGAGGTGCTGCCGTTACCCAAATCAGTATCTGTGTTGGGCCAGTAATGTGCAAAGCATCCTACGCATTTAGGGTTAGACCGTGTTGTCCCCTCGGGGAGGGGCTGTGGCTCAGTGGCAGAGCATCTGCTTGGCATGCAGAAGGTCCCAGGTTCAATTCCTGGAACTTCCAGTTAAAAAAACTGGGCAGTAGGTGACAAGAAACTAAAGACCACTTACCTGCTGCCAGTCTGAGTATACAATATTAACCTCAATGGACCAGTTAGGAGGTTATTGCCTTGGTTATTGTCTGACTAGAGGTGAATGGGCAATTTAAGGGGAAATAAAGGGTGAAAGGGAAAATGTGCTGAACAGAAGAGTCTGTTGAGCCAAGATCCAGGGCAGAAGGAAGGCTGGACATGGGCAAAGGACAAGTCCAAACTGAAACTAAGAAGTGAAGTTGAGGGTCCTTTGTGGGAATCAGTGAATCATCCCAGAGGCAGAGGTCCAGGAAGCAAGCCGTCCACAAAGTTGGGGAAGAAACCCACATAAAAGCTGGTGTGGCTTGAAATACCCCTTGCATAGGATGTGGGGCAACAGAGTTCAGGGAAAATTCCTGCTAATGTTTAGGGGTAGGGATGGGCATGGACTGGCTCACATAGTTTGTCACAAATTTTGGGTGGTTATGCCTCACAAAGTGATGTTCATGGAATGGCAACTGGCATGAACATTCCATGAACTTTGGTGCTGTTTGTGAATGGATACATTTCCAGACAGAGTATCTCCACTCAATTAAACTCTTTACAAAACTCCAAATCGACAGGGGGGTGGACATCTCCAGCCTTGGAAACACCAATGGGCGCCCACCAAAGCTTAACGTGCACTGCTGGTTGCCAACAACAGAGTTCTCATTCTGCTTTATGGAATCAGAATGCTATATATCAACTCAACTCCGCAGCCCCTGTTGGCTGTTGGCAGTTAGACAGAGAGACAGGGAACTTGTTAAAAGCAGACTAGCAGAGCACATTCATTTATTCCCTCCTGATTGTGAACTCCTCTCCCCTGCTGGGGTTTGGGTGATACGTGGACTCAGGGCTCTGAGTCCCCTGTCTCTTGCTTACACCAAGTCCCTCAGCTGAGGACCCACATTTTATACCCTCCTGATTGTGAATTTCTCTCCCCTGGTAGGGTTTGGGTGTTAGGTGGACTCAATGCTCTGAACCACCTTCTTTGCTCATGCTGAGTGGTGGGGCTTTGGTATAGGGTGCCTTGGCTAAGTGAGGACCCACATTTTATACCCTTCTGTGAACTCCTCTCCCCTGCTGAGGTTTAAGAGTTCAGTAGACTCAGGGCTCAGAGCCACTCAGAGTCTCTCTACTCACGCCAAGTGGTGGGGCTTTGCTCCTGGTTGCCTTGGCTGAATGAGGACCCATGTATTATACCCTCTTGACTGTGAATTCTTCTCCCCTGCTGGGGTTTGGGTGTTAGGTAGACTCAGGGCTCTGAGCCACCCCATCTCTCTGCTCATGTCAAGTGCCTTGGCTGAGGACCCATGTTTTATACTCTCCTGATTGTGAATTCCTCTCCCCTGCTGGGGTTTGGGTGTTAGGTGGACTAAGGACTCATGATTATGCAAGAGAGTTTGGGCCAGATGACAGCCTTACATGACCAGTACTCCAGGGGATTGGTGTTGGGGGTCTCAGGGAACTCCCTCACCATCACCTCTTCCAAATCCTCCTCCACTGCACACCTGACCTCCCAGTTCACTACTGACAACCAGCAGTGGGGCTTCTCCCTGGTTGGGCTTTCAGGCAGAGGTGCTGGGCTGCTACTCCAACTCCTCCCCAGCCTCTTCCACCCACTGTTCCCTCTGGCCATGTTTGTTGGCTTGTAGCCTCCACACTTCTTAGCAGAGCTCACACTTCCATTACAAGAGCCCTGCATTCAGGAGAGCAATGCTGCTTTTTATCTAGGGGCCACAGTCTATACAGGTCAGCCTGTACTCCCCCTTTATTGCAAAGAGAAGAAGAAGAGGAGAAGAAGAGATTGGATTTGTAACTCCCCTTCACTTGAGTCTCAGAGTGGCTTACAAACTCATTTTCTTTCCCCTCCCCCCAACAGACACCCTGTGAGGTAGGTGGGG